GGGAACAGATTTGGTTTGGGTCAGCTGGATTCACGCGCAGGTGCGTGTCCAGGTGGAGCAAACCTGCTCCTTCTCTTCCCTCCATCCTTCCTCCTTCCTTTCTAGCAGGTATTTTGAAGATGTTTGAGATCCCAGCTGGAGCCAGGCACCTTCAGATAGAAGAGATGGAGCCAGCATCCCACAGCATCGGTGAGTACACCACACTCTCCCTTCACCCCACTACCTCTGTCTCTGCCCTGGCCTGACCATGCCCACCTAAAGGGTCTTATTTGGGTCATTACAGTCCTTCTTTCTGGAAGACCAGAGGAAATGACCTTGAAATACCCATTGAAATGCCTCCTTTCTCCTCCAGCTGTTAAGAATCAAGCCACGGGGAACTTCATCCTTAACGCCAAGGGCAAAGAAGCCAAAAGCCAAGTGTTCGTTGAGATGGGCTTGGAGTGGGAATACACCGTTGAACGTGGCAAGGAGAGCCTGAAAACCAGCGGTCCTCTGCACGAGGCTATCAGCGTTTTGGTAAGCTGGGCTGACACGTCCTCTGGGGGCATCGGGGGTGACTGTCACCCAGAGGCAGAGGGACTGAGGTGGTCTGAGGTGGGACATAGGAGGCGATGGAAGGATTTTGGCAGAGGAAAGGCGTAGGGTGTGGCGTTAAACCCAGGGAAATGAGCCAGCCAAATGGAAGGGGCAGTGGGCTGCGTGCGAGAGTAGCCTAAAGACACATGGCTGGAGCATTTGCCTTTGAATCCAACTGTATTTTGCTCTGTGACACAATTGGTTGTGACTCTACGTCTCGTTTTAGTTGTGCTGATGTTTGAGGGAGATAGGGATTGGGTTCCCTGGGCACCCAGGGAAGGGTAGGTCTGCGCCACTGTCCATCCCCATGGCCAGCGTTGGCTTTGGGTGTAAACTGTGGTCCTGCAGGTCATCATTTACTTCTTTTTTTCCTTTGATGACCTCCTCTTGCCTTCGCCGTCCCATGGCTTTGCTCCTTCCTCTCCTTCCCCCTCTCCGATTGTCCTCTGTCTGCCCGCAGGTCGTCCCTCAGGAGGAGGAGGAGGCGAGGAGCAGCCTGATGTACAGGTACATCATCCACGAAGACCTGCTGCCCATGATTGGCAACAACAACGTCCTGCTTGAGGAGATGGATTCCTACGAGTGGGCCCTCAAGAGCTGGTCTCAGTGCTCCAAGGCGTGCGGAGGAGGTAGCTTTCCCTTGGCAGCAGCCGCTGGCGCGTGCTCGGGAGGGTGCTTGGGTAGATCGGGCAGGATGGGAGCCTTCTGCAGCACCTCTGCCTTGGAAACAACATGGGTGCTGTTTTCAGGTGTTTCTCGCCAAGATCGCATGGGTCAAGGCTTTAGACCTAGACCTGGGACTGCTTGGAGGCCTTGGTTTTCTTCTCCACACCTCATACCGGTGTTCTTGGCATCTCTGTGATTTGGGGGATCTACGATGTGGGAACATGAATGTTAAAAACTGATACTGCAGAGCAGTTTAGGAGAGCGTTTTAGCCAGATTTCTTATGAAAACAGGCTTCCGCAATCGTGTACGCGTACCTCGGTCTGCCTGTCCGTGTGTCTGCTCTGAGTTTTGAATTCCTTGGCTGGTTTTTAGCCAAATTTGAGCCAAGGAGTGGCATTCTTGCAGATGACTGCTCCTGAAGCTTGCATGGAAATAAGTGTGGAAGCACTGAGAGGTGCCGTGATGGAGGGCAGGTATGGACCTGTTGGAGCAGGTCCAGAGGAGGCCACGAAGATGATCCGAGGGCTGGAGCACCTCTGCTATGGAGACAGGCTGAGAGAGTTGGGGCTGTTTAGCCTGGAGAAGAGAAGGCTCCGGGGAGACCTTCCAGCAGCCTTCCAGTACCTAAAGGGGCTACAGGAAAGCTGGAGAGGGACTTTTTCTGAGGGTTTGTAGTGATAGGACAAGGAGCAATGGCTTTAAACTGAAAGAGGGGAGATTTGGATTAGATCTGAGGAAGAAATTCGTCCCTCTGAGGGTGGTGAGGCACTGGAACAGGTTGCTCAGAGAAGCTGTGTCTGCCCCATCCCTGGAGGTGTTCAAGGCCAGGCTGGAAGAGGCTTTGGTCACCCTGGTGTAGTGGCAGGTGTCCCTGCCCATGGCAGGGGGGTTGGAACTAGATGATCTTTGAGGTCCCTTCCAACCCAAACCATCCTATGATTCTATGGTGACATCTCGAAGCACGCGTCCCCACAGGGGTGCAGGAGAAGGGACGAGGCGTGAGGCCGGTGGGACCCCCGCACCCGTTGCCTCACTGCCCCTGCCCTGCCTTTCCCCCC